GGGGGGGAGGATGTGGGCTATCACTGAAGGAACCCACCCTCAACATGGCGGGATGCCGATATATCGCTACGGCGGCCGTGAGATCGTCACGCTCCCGGGTCGTGAGGGGAGAAAGGTAGTCACGTGGGAGGGGGGGGGGCTATTGATCTCACAGACAGACATCAGAACTGAACAGCAGAACCAGATACTGAGCTTGGGTCTCCAGAATTTATCACCTGGCATTCAGAAATCCAAAAATGAATGCCAGTGTAAATGTATTCACTCTGATATTTAATAATAACACAATAACAGACAAGCCTGCAAGCCTGACCAGGATAATCGGCTAGAACATGGATGGATGGATGGATGGATGGATGGATGGATTGATGGATGAAAAAAATCCCCAGTAAGTGGTTCTTCATTCATGATATAATTAGCAGCACCATGCTCATTCCTGACAAAAGCATTTTTGTATCAAACAATGTTAGTGTACATTATACACACAATGCAGCTTGGAGACAGGGAGCCGTGTTTGTCCATAAAAGAAACAGCAGCATCATTAAAATAAAGTGACCACTCAGCGCCCATGTACATACATCTGGAACATTCCAGCAGCACCAGCGTCTTCCTACCTGGACACTGAACAGGAATAAATGAGTCTCTGTGAAACATGCATCTGTCTTGGGAAGTAGTTTAGGTAGAAGCTGAAGATGAGTTCTGGGTAGTGGTGGCCTCTGGGTAACCTAGGTTATCCAGTCTTACCTTGGCTAAATGAAGGAACCCTGCCAGGTAACCATGCGGTTGCCATGGAGACGACCCCCGCATCCCTAACATCTCTCTCACCAATGCAAAAGCTACAGGCGTGTTAATGCTTTCTCACAAGCACGTGGATGGAGGCGTGAGGCGGACAGACAGACAGCCAGGCAGATGCGAGGAGATGGATGGGGAGGGGGGGGGTCGAGGGTGGCAGTAGGGGAGAGGGGGGTGTGGCAGAGGCGTTCGTTCATAGAAATGGAGAGAATACGTACCCAGTACGTCTACAGAGTGAGGGAGAGCGTGGTGGACAGGTGGAGGAGGAGGAGGGTGAACAGGAGGATACAGAATGAAAAAGAGAGAAGAGGCTTGATCAGACAAACATTCAGACAGCGCAGGTCCGTTTCAGCTACTGACCTTACGGTGCCCCCAACCCACATTCGGTCTCAGCTACAGCATGGTGTACACAAAGCCCCGGTGGCAGCACTTCCCAAAAGACCCCCCCTCCGGCCCTTACAGACATGGCAGCTTGCCAGTGATGGGTTTAACATCCATACTGCCTTGCGGATGCCTTAAAGGCACAGGCCACGCTGTTTTTTAACACCGGCAAAAAAATAAATACTTAAGTAAGCTCAACTGAGTTCATTTTAAAGCACAGTCATATTACCTTTCAAAAATAAATGGTAAGAAATGAAGAAACACTTTACTTGAAGGGGCACAAATACTCATAGAGTATTATACTATTGCTTATGTATTAACTAACCACAAACTAAGTATTAGCTACATATTAATCTAATGTTAATTCATCATTAATGTTTTATCTAAAGCAGTTACTATATTTGTTACTATGTCTGTTAATTCTGTAAATCTTTGTGAACTACTGTAGGAACTACTGAAGGTAGTCATGAATATCATAAGTGAAATACTGATCTCATGTTTGTTTATCATTAATGAATCGTGATGCAGCATCTCAAGTAGCAACTATATTTGTTCATAATTTGTACTTCAGTAGTCAATGAGTTATTATTAAGTATTTGTGGTCCGTCAAGTAAAGTGTTACCAGAAATTATTCTCCCATCCTCTTTCCAAACAAGCCACCCAAAATTGAGAACTTTGCTTTGTCAGTGACTATAAAAATACGTTATCACAGACAAAGCAACATAAAATGGGATCTATGTGAACCTCACAGCCCTGTGTGACTTTGTAAAGTGCTATAATTAGTTTACAGTAACAGTTGTTAGTGCTACGGTGGATCACCATTCCTTATTCTGTGATATGACACGTCTGGACTAATTCTGAACCCGTTTCGTTTCTGCGCTGGTCGAATTGCAAGTAGCAGCGAGGCTGTAAGAACTCCGCCGCTGCGAGAGGCTATAAATATCACGGCAAGCCAGCCGGTCTCTTTCGGTTCCCTGAAAACACCCCCCCCCCCTTTCCCCTGCGGTCGCTTTTCAGCCGGGTTTGGACACTGGGTCCAGAGAATCGATTCCCAGCAATCACTTTTGATTGAGAGACAGCGGCGAGGAGTGTGGGGAATCGAGGATGATGGGGACGGAGGGCGAGGCACGTGAACCCAACCCACGGCCTTCACGGAGCGGCCTATCGCAGCCCGAGAGCGTGCGTACTGGTAGGGGGGGCGGAGCCTTACCCAGGCTGGACCGGGTACTGGAGCGCTCGATGATGGTGTGCTTGCTGGGGTTATTCAGCACAGATCGCTTGGCCAGGGAGATGTCCGCCGTCACCCGTGTGATAGATATCCTAGACGACACGCACACAAACGCACCACCTGCCGTGATCGATACGCTGGGGGGGTCCTACCCACCGTCCCCGCTGACGGCTTCGCCATTCCACTTACCTGCCTTCAAACTTGTGCTTGAGAAAATCGAAGAGAGCTTTCTGCATCATGTCCGTCACCTGAATCGGAGGGGGGGGGGGGGGTGAAACTCAGATGAGCGTTTCGCTTGTGGGAAACTGAATTTAGATAAACCGGTTCACCTGGACTCCATCTGCTCCAGCGAACAAGGGCTCATCCTGATTATGCAGATGAGCAGCTGAGCCAAGCGTATAATCTTGTGTATTACAAGGTATAAGAGGCTCAGATTTTTACTCAAAGATTCTAGGAGGATTTCTCCTAGCAGTACAGTACTATGCACATAAATCCTGCCCACTGTATTATATGAAAACTGTGGTCCTGTCATCATCAGAGATTACGGTAGCTGACTGCAGAGTGGTTGATATGTTACCTTTCTCTGTTTGTTATATAATGTGACCTTTGTGTAGCTGATCTAATAGAGACTTTTACAATGAAAGTAGCAGAACAGAGAAATTCTCACAATGCCAGCAGTACAGATTTCTGGGTCTAAAATGCTAAAATAGAAGATAAATGGATGTTTTGTAGTTTTTTTTTGTTATATTTTACCTCATAGCCTTTGAGGGAGGGGCCCACCAGGATGATGGGTCTCATGGAAGGTACCACGTCATATGGGGGCACATGCTCCATCTGGACCAGGGCATGGAAGTGGGGGGGGGGGGGGGGCACAGAAACTCTGAACATCCTGAGTACAGTTTGTTCCCTTCTATTCCACCTCGCCTGGGATAACCGTGGACAGCTCCCATACACATTTTTTTCTCTGTTTCAAAGATCCTCTCCACCCCCCAGTTATAATTGAAATCAGCGCCAATGCCGCAGTTATAATTAATACCCAGAATCCCCCTCTGGGCTGGACGTCCAGCCTGGGGACGCTCTAGGGCCCCTGAGCTCCTCTTACGTTTGCGGGGTTCTGTAGTCGGCCAAACGAGTGTGTCACTCTGCGCTCAAATAGCAACAAATAAATAACGTAACGATCAAATCTGACAGCTTAAAATGCAGGAAACGTTTGCATTTAAAATGTCACTCTAGTTATATAATATATCAGGATATACACCATACTGAACTATCAAACATATAGCATAAATGTAACAAAACATAGCTACTGTATCATAGTATGATAATACTCCAAAAGTATTGTATTAGACCATAGCATGACTATATGCATAAAGTATTGTATGAGAGTATTGCATAACTATATGCAGAAAGTAATGTATTACAGTATAGCAAGACTATACAAAGAAAGTATTGTGCTAGAGTATAGCATGACTATACACAGAAAGTATTGTGCTAGAGTATAGCATGACTATACACAGAAAGTATTGTGCTAGAGTATAGCATGACTATACACAGAAAGTATTGTGTTAGAGTGTAGCATGACTACACAAAGCCAGGACTGGATGTCATGCCTGGGTTAGGAAAGTGTGTCACATGTTATGACATGCACCATGTCCCATGCGTGGTGGCAGAGGGCAGGCTTATGGTCCAACAGCAGTGCCTGCGCTGTCCTCGAATGTGACGTTAACAGGGCATAATTGTCTCCCGCAGGCTGCAACGTTTTGGTTGTCAGGGTATTCGCGCTCGTTTTGCCACACACCGACACGGAACCGGGGAATTTTGCCTGACGCTGCGAAGCTCGGCAGCGCTAGGTGCGGCTGGCGGTTCCCGGCAGACTGGCCGTTCACACCTGGACCCAACTGGGAGGGGTGGCAATGGGCCACCGCAACGAGACTGGGCCACTTTTGTCTTTCTTTTTTTTAAGAAAAGGAGCTTTCATTGACAGGAGAGTAAGAGAATGGGTCTCGGGGAGGGCAGACTCACCGACTTCTGTTTCTGTTTAGCTGGGACGCCTATCATTCGGCACACACACCCCCAGCAAGGGAAAGGGTGGGGGGGGGGGGAATACAAAAACACAAAGGACGTGGGTTATTAACAGGTTAACACTGGGGATATTGGGAGGAGGGGGCTAATATCCAAGGTATTACCTGAGGAATAGACAGTATGCTGAAACAGCACCGAGTGGGCGGAGCTCAAACAGAGAAGCTCCGAACGCATCATCTCCATACATCCCTAACATCTCTCCATTTGTTTAAATCTCCATCAATCTTTTCTTTACATTTTTCGCAGTTTCGGCCCACAGGACCTCTTTGGAGAATGCAGACCTTTGATTCTCTTTAAATGAAATTTCTTTCTTCCGTTATTTCCGGCATTATGAGTTATGATCTGCCTGTCATTATGGGATGCATTTGTCAGGCCCCGAGTCATGCTTCATTAAGTCGGTACGGCCAACTCGCCCTTCCCGATATGCGCGCACACACGCACACACACACACACACACACACACAGCTCACCGTTACCATAGCGATCAGAGACACTGGGGGCCGGTGGGGGTTTTACGGTGGGAAGCAGCGGCGGGCTCTGGGTTGGTGGGGGAGGCTAGTTAGTGAGCAGATGCGAGAGACGAGGGCTTGGGGGGTGGGGGGGGGGCGGACGAGGTGAGGCAGCAAGCCCGGGCATCCATTCCGGAAGGGAACGGGGCCCCTCCCCAGCGTTACCTTCTTAAAAAAGGGGAGACGGTGGGCGTTGGCCTGTGGGGAGGTCACGCTGCCCCCACTGGACCTAGGGGAGCGGGACTCAGCCTGCGCTTCTGGGGGCTCCTCTGCATCCAGGTCCAGGGGGTCAACATCGAAAGTCACTGTGGACATTTCCACAGGTGCTGGTAGTGGGTGGGGGAAGTTCGGGCACGGGGCGGGACCGGGGGATGAGGCGGAGAGGAAGAGGAACGGGAAGAGAGACGAGAAGGAACGAGAGAAGACAGAGAAGAGGAGGAGGAGGAGGAGGAGGAAGGAGACAAAGGAAGAAGGAGGGAAAGGCAGAGCAGAAGAGATCATTAGATGGGTACAGGTAGAAGATAGGAGTCAAAGAGCGAGACCTGTGATAATGTAACAGAATGGCAGGTAACGGCCAAAAAAGGAACAGAAAAAAACTCATATAAGCAAAATGGAAGCAAAGTAGGGGAATATGAGAGAGGGAGTGCAATCCTGATGGAGTTCCGGAGGCGTGCGAAGAGAGGGAGAGGGGAAGGAGCGAGGAGGAGGTACGTGCTAGGGTCGGGACGGACCTTTTCAAATGGGGTGTGGGGGTGTCGATTCAGCTGAGCGCCGCTGGTGGCATAAACTGGGGAATTTTAACTTAGGGAGTTCTTTGTATTATGCCTTAGGACATAATTACCCTTTTTGACTATTATTTAAAGCAACATGTAACTATTCTCTGGGAAATACACACCTGGGGTGACAGGATCGCCTGGAGGCTCAGTGAAAAAGAGATATTATTTGGTGACCTCACTTCCTGTATGTCCAGGAACTGCTATCAGTTATATTAAGTGACGCCTGCTCTCACATTTAGGAACAAATATACTGCACACACATGTCATTTTCGCAAAATATGAACAATTGAAATCACACGTTTTTGGACGAATCAAGTTGAGAGATCTGTGCTACTTGATATCTGTGGGCTATCGAGGAAGATGGGATCTTATAGGGGCCACTTATTCAGCACCGATTAACAGACGGTCACGGGTGACTGTACCAGTGCCAGGTGGAGTTGGCCTCCGTGTTCCCGTGGCGACGTCTCCGAGGCTGGAACTCCCCCCAGACTTACTGTGAGATAAACATAGGAGCAGGGACACATGCAGGGGGGTGAGGCCTGATTGATTACAGCCTGTTTTCTGTGAGATCAGTCACTGACACTGGAGAGCACATGTCACACATTTAGGGGCAGAGAGTAATTAGAGTTGCCAACCAGTCTGTATATTCCCATAATGAAAAATAAAATGCCTCGTATTTTTGTACAAGGTCAGGGGTTCCCAACAGGTGAAATACAATTTAATCTGGATGGGCTGGGTGACGAGTGTTCCTTATTTCTTCAGATTGTTGCAAATCAGGGGAAGTCAAAGGTAGGCGATCTTATCTGCAAGGGGATAAACTTGCAACGACACACAGAGAGAACATGCAAACTCCACACACATGAAACCATGGCGGACACTCGAACCCTGGTCTCAGAGGTGTCAGTCGACAGTGCTAACCACCCCAGTCCTATAATTAATAATCTAATTAGAGAGTTGCAGTGAAAACCCACATACACAATGGCCCTTTCTGGATAAGATTGCTCACTCCTGCTGTAAATAATAGTTAGCTAATAGCTATGGGTTTGATGGGGTCAGTCCAAGTTAAGGGGAACTAGTCTAAAAGTCTAAACGACGGCGTACAGGCAGATGTAGGAGGTCCGGTCTGCACTGTGATGGGACTACGTGGTCTGTGGCGACGTCGAGCCCCGTTAGTCTGTGAGATCTCACGGTGGTGTGGGATGGGGAGGGCTGGTGGCACTTAGGTGTAGCACCGAAGTCGTAATATAAACGATTATGGGCGATTACGCCGAGCTATTATACTGCGTGATTATACAGAGATCTGGGTGCCGAGGTGAGTATTCCGAGCTTTAGCGGTGAGATAATGATGCTGGAATGTAGGAGGTGTGGTGATTATATTGAGGTGTGGGTAGTGAGATCAGTACGCCACGCTATAGGAGTGAGATAATGGCCCTGGAGTGAAGGGAGTGAGGTGGTGATGCTAAGGCTACTGGCGGCATGTGGGCGAGGAGCGGAGCTGCTGGTACCTGGAGCTGAGGCGGTTCTGCCGCATCCGCTGCTCCTGCAGCAGACGGGTGTTCTCCAGCTTGACAGGGCTTGGGATGAAGCCCACCTCGCAGCCCTCCTTCACCAGCCGGCCGATCCACCAATCGTTGTTGTATTTCTGCGGACAGACACGCCGCCGCACCAATGGGATCTCAGCCGAGCGAAACCGGTCGCGTGCTGTTTACGTTTCCAGCCCATTGATGTGAGAGATTAGGAGATCAATACCACGGGCCCTCCAAGGAGTACTAGCAGTCAGATCCAGTCCTCACCTCTTTAATGTGCAGGAAGTCTTTGGGCTCGAAGGAGATGGCCATGCCCTGTACGGGGACATCGTCGTTGGGACCGGGGTTGTAGCCCACGTTTGTCCGCACGGCAAAGGCCACAGGTTTGGTCTTGGATCGGCAAGGGCAGATTGGAGGGTGAGAAAGAAAGACAATGAGTAACATTCTTTTTTCCATCTGGCGCCATTTGACAAGGACTTTCGAACGGATTTCAAGAGAAAGAATGGAATGTCCTCAACATTCTGGCAGTCCATCGCCTGCACAAGTCAAAAAAAATAAAAAATCATTGACAAGCAGACTGGTTCCAATAACAGCAAGAACCGTTATATTTAATGAGATCTTTGCCAGGATCCTCGACGAAGGGGGCGGGGCCAGCTGCGGCCTCTCACCTTGGCTTTCTCGAGTGTGGCGAGGGCTTGTCGGTCGGCTTCCTTCCTCAGGGCGTCGGGATCCTCCTCCAGGGACACATCTGAGTCTGAGGGCCGGCTTGTGTAGGAGTCTGCAGAGCCCTGGGGAACAGCGGGAGAGACGGAGCTCTGTGGGTTTGGCCAGTGCTGGGTTATACTGGAGATGGACTTAATAGTGCCATCTGACCATCCGAGTGGCTAATTTTGCATAGGACAAGACTGCAAACAAAGTGGGGCAGAAGATTATAGAAGTGACATAACTTCCTCCCTAGTTGAAGGGGAAGACGTTATTTAGTGTGTGCTCATGGGTGAGTGTGTGTTCAGCTGTTCAGAACGACAGATGGACGGAGGCAGCAGTATCCTTACAAAAGCACAGTCCATGAATACACCAGGCCAGCTACCATGACGCCAATCTACCATCCCTTAGCCATCAAATACAGGGCCTTGTTGGTTAGGGATGGAAAGATGGCTTGGTGGAGAGTTCCCCAGGCTCGCTATAAAAATGAATTTTCCACATGCTGCCCTCCTGGGCCAGGCTGACCTGGGAAAAATGCTCAGTGATGGTTGCTACCCAACTTCTGCATCCATTACAGCAGGCTGTTCACCTCACCAAGAGGCGTTACGAGCAACAAGACATTACAGAATATGAAAGGCCTGTACAGTCTTTAAGATGATAATCGGAGGTGTCGGCTGCCTCAGAAGTACCAAGCCCTGATAAAGACTCTCCTTGCCCAGCTCACTAAACCGGTCTAAAAAACTGTCTATGTGATCCTAGGAGGATTGCGAACTTCGGTCGGCTGGCTGGAGTGAGATTTTCAATCAGAGACAAGTCTGCACTCACATGAACACGCATTTATGAGTATGTAACAGTTTTATTATCTTGTAAATAGTCTGTAGGGTTTGCGAACTGCTCCAACACTTTTGATGTAGCTAATTTTAGGTTTATGATGGAATAATATAGATTTGCCGTATGATTTCTTGCGTGAACGTGAGTCTTAAACCGTGAGTATCAGGCCAGATGCAGGAGAGTTGGCAGCCCAGCCTTAGGTATTATTCTCAAACGTGTGAATGCCGCAAGATGGCCACTAATGCAGCCAAACTGTAAAGTGAAGTGGAGAATAACACCGCTGTTGTGGGCATTACAGCTTGAAACTTTAGCTCAGCAAATGCTTTGCACCAACTTAGCATGTGGCGATGTGCTAATTAGCAACGCAGGTGAGATGGATGTCGCTTCAAACATCTGTGATGCTAACTAATAGCTGTTACTTGAGCACGCACATGGTCACTGTTCCCAGTAGCAGTTTTGTTTGTGTATTTTACAATTTTAATTTAGCAAGTAGGCGGCAACACCTTTTCTTCCTGGCAAATCTCACCACTCATTGATTTGAATAACCTCAGTACTTGACTGAATATTGTTTAAGTTAAGTGTTTCAGAATATGTTATAGCGGAACATAAACGCAATGCGGAAGTCTTCGCAGAAAGCGTAGCTCGGAAATAGCATGTTACAGGTCTGTCACTAGCAGTAGCAAAGATTTCCTACTCCAAGGTTATGGGGGGGGGGGTTGTTTGAGTGAAACAGCAAATGTTTCTAATTCTCTGCTGCATTGATTAACTACTATCCATGATTTAATTTGTTGTCACTGGGACAAGGAGCAGTGCGAGACTTTGGATTTGTCCGTGCTGATAAATTTCATTTTCAGTTGTTGAACGCCCCCCCGTTTTTTGTAATAAACGAAAACTGAGTCACTGGCCGCATGACCTTATTACAGTGACAAAATGTATTTAAGGAGACAACTTGAACAGAATGACCTAGGAGAACACAAAGCATTAATAATGACACACTGTTCCCCATTTTCTCTCAGTAGGTCATATCGCTTGTACTTTGCTTGGGACATTGAAGAAAATATTGGGTGTGTTTGCATGATTAAAGAAACTGTCTGAAATAATGTGCATCAATCATAAAGACCACAATAAAAATAAATGATAGCTAATGCTTGATGGGAACAGGCCATGTGGAGCAGCCTATTGCTGGTAATGTAGCGGACTCATGCTGTCAAGAACCGCACCAGAAAATGTAACATTTAGCTGGGTCTCAGATGTTAGAGGTCAGAGCCTGGGTTTAAGGCACCCACACATGCAGAATAGAGACAAGCTTGGATGTGAAGCACTCAGGCTAAAAATATATCAAGACTTGCGTAGTTGACAAGCCTAGAATTCTGTAGAGGCACAATGAAGTGAGGGGTGAGGAATGTGGAGCCAGGTACAGATTGTAAATTAAAACAGCGACAATGTGCAGGTTACACTTTGTGGTACTATAGCAATACTATAGTAGCACTTGATGAACCTGAGGAGGGGATGGAGTAGACTGAGAGTGCAGCACAGTGGTTTCTTCAGCCATGAAATCTTGGCTGGCAAGTACAGGAAATCTCCTCAGCGCCAAGCACACCCGGGGACGTGTCTGAAGCCTCGGAGCACACGGCAGGCTCCCACGGTCCGACCCGACAGCCTTCGCTAAAAAATGACAGCATAGTGGAACCGAGGAGGGTTGGGGGGACGGACGGATGGGGTGTTATAACGGCCACTTACCGGCTCTGAGTCATCTAGCCCGTAGAGGTACATCCCGACATGAGGCTCGACCGAGGGACGCAGAAGAAGCAGGAGAAGGGGGCGTCGCCAATCCAAGTGCCGCAACAAGTCCGCCGGGCGGCAAAGGAGAGGAATGGGGGGGGGGGGGGTGTGCACCGACAGCTACACTGCCTTTATCCAGAAAACGGAACTGAGAACGTGGAAGCCAGTCGGTCGTTTATGAAATGCATGAAGTGCAGAAGGACTCTGGAGGGAGGCCGGCCTGCGGATGCTCCATCTGGGACCTACTGATTAACTATGTGGATGGAAGCAAAGAGCAAGTCTGGGCGGGAGCCAACCTGGCAGAGTGGTTTCTCTGCCGCCACCCCCCCCTGCCTCCCGTCTCTCTCTCTCTCTCTCTCTCTCTCTGTCTCTCTCTGTCTTTCTCTTTCTCACTCTCTGTCTATCCCTGTCAATGGGCTCTGCCTCTAATTTAGCTGCCTGCTTCACTTCACAGCTCCTGTTCAAAATAGCTCCCCCACCAGCTGACGCCTGCACTCCGTTTCCATTGGCCGGGGTCGGGAAAGCACCCAATAGTGTCATAGTAACCGGCCCAGCTGCTCGGTACGGCACGAGAGCGAGAGAGAGAGGAGCGTGGCAGAGATAAAAGCTTTCGTGCGCACGCTGGGGCTCGGCCAATTGCGGGGCAGTCCTTGTAAATAACGGGTAGGTGTGGCAGCATGTTTGGTGTGGTCGTCGGGTGGGTTTCACCTCAAAGGCTGATCTCAGAACAGTTGCAATCCTTATTCTCATGGACAAGTGCCCAGTCAAGTACGCTGCACCTTACAACATCCCCATCCTCTTCACCAATGCCAGCCAATCCATTAGGTGACACATGTAGCCTCCTAGGGCGCCATCTTCTGATGACTTCACTTCTTCTCGGGCAGGGGGCGCCGGCGGTGATGCTCGCCTAGGGCACCACAAAGGCTGCGAGCACTATCGCCCGTCACCACACCAGGAAGGATGTTCGCTCACTGGTGACGGTGGTAGCTGGAGATTCCCTGGACATAAGCAATGCTTATTCAAAGACCACTGAGAAGAAAGCAGTGGAACCGATTTCACGAGCAAGAACGCATTCTTCAAATCATCAGTCGTATTTTTCTCATCACAGAAAATGCACTTCCTGGTTATCTTTTGCCATCTAACACGTTTAGCTCTTTAAAACTTCTTCCTATGCCTTTTGGTTTTCACTCCTGATACCCAGAAGCACATGTCATTTGGAAAACACCACTAAAGAGACAACAAATATGCTTAAAATAAGGCTAGGCTACAACTTAGGGAAACAAAGTCAGTGCTATTAAGGCTGGTTTCCTGTTGGATTCACCATCAGGAACAACATATTAAACGATTAGATTTATGTTCCCATTTAGATGGTACATTCCGCAGGTTAAAAATACCAACAGGGATTCTGGATCGCGTTCAGTGTTATTGTACACGGCTGAAAGCATTTCCCAGCTAGGACCATTCTATGTGAGTTCCAGTTAATTAGTCATGCGCAAAATTATACAGTGTGATATCATAATGCATACATTTTTGCCCATTTTTACCACAGTTTGAGTCACTTCCACTTCTCTCTCATACACACCTGCCAGGAAGCTTTAACACATTTTAATACATACGACGTGATCCATTAATTCACGCCCCTGTCAGCTGATGGCCGCTTCTCACAGTGAGTCACACAACGTCACAGCGCTGGAGAACCAGCGCCACGTCTTTCACCGATGACAACCGCCGACTCGCCGGTGCCTGACATCTCATCAAGAGGCTCTCCAGCGTCAAGACGGCCTTCGGCTCCCCTGCTTCCAAGCAGAACAGCGCTAATTATGCTCTGGCACCACAAAATTCTGGGTCACAGTTAGCGGATGGCTGCGGTACAGCATCTCGCCGGCCTTTCCTTTGCATTGGTGGACTGATAAAAGGGGCCAGCTAGGCTGAAAAAAGGTTTTAAGAGGCTGTTGTAAGGAAAGGATGCTGGGACATGTATTAGTCACAGAGACACATTTTTTTTGAATTGGCTGTATGCTCCTAAAAACCACTTTCCTCTGTATCTTGTAATCCAGTATATCTTGTATAGTGTCAGGATCGGTCCCTGCCTGGCCAGCAGGGGTCGCTGGTCATCTCTCTTTCCTAATGTTTGAGTCCTACCCTCACCTGTCCCTCATCTTACCCTTATTATCCTTGTATATATGTACCTGGTCTTGCTCTTATTCCTCAGTTGGTTATTGTGGCTCCCTGCCCGGCTTACCCACTTTGTTTCTGACCCCTCGCCCGACTGTTTCTTGAATTCTCTTTGAGTTTTAATGAAGTCCCGTTTTGTGAGCCACAGCATCAATCATCCGTTTTTCATCATGTCCGTCCATAAAAGTACAGTGTCTTTAAATCATGTTCTGTTTGGTGTTTAATATATGCTGTACAGTCGTCCGTCGCCATTTCGCGCTTCGACTTTCGCGGCTTCACTCTATCGCGGTTTTTTCAAATACATTTATTCATTAAAAAGTTGATAGACAGTGAAAATGATACAGCTTGCGCTCGGTTGTCTGAGTCAATTATACACCTCTGTATTACAATTGAAATTAAAATTACTGTACGTATGGACTGTAGGCCTATGTATGCCAGGTGCAGCCGAATAATAAAGAAATAAAGAATCCTACTTCGCGGAAATTCATTTAACGCGGTAGAGTCTTGAACGGATTAACCGCGATAAACGAGGGACGACTGTATCTGACTTTGACTAACTGACCGTGGCAAATTCCTTGAACACACTGGGTCCCTGGAGAATTAGGTCTGATTCTGAATTCTCTGTTAATTTTGTTTTGCTAAAACGAATCCTCATACCTGTATATGCAGTCTACATCTGTCTTGCTCTTCCACAAATGTCTACAGTGATATTACTGTAAACCCTTTAAACTGAACTAGCTGTATTTTGTTTGTTTTATTTCAAATATGGGCTGTCAAATGCCAGATTCATAAATTATACATTAAACGTCTCAAGTTGGCCATATTTACCTTCAAACAATCTACACCTGTGTATGTCTCCATGAACAAAATGCGTGACCAAACATAACCAATCTTGACACAAGATGTTGACATCCACATCCCTCCGATGCTGTGTGGTCCACCGCAGTCCTAAGGGTGGACTGGAAATGTGCATTTATTACAGGAATGGGTGCTGATCATCCACTATTCTTTCAATGGCACTGTGACTAATGCCTAGCCAAGACTACACTTGCTCTATATGGATATGGGTCAATAGGAGCACAGGAAAACGGAACCCGCTGTGGCTGCTAGGGTGGATGGGGGCGAAGCGGTGTTACGTTATGCGATACTCCAGGGAAAATGGCGGCCCCACATAAAAATGTGACTACTCCGTCAGCTCACATCCCGGACTCCACATCCGTGACACATCCTCGTGTGGGCACCGGGTGTTGTAGTCATGCTCCAGACCTATGCAACTGACTAACCAGACTAGTATAACTACCTAAAGAACCAGCAACTCAAACATATATGCTTTCTATAGAAAGAACCACCAGGTACACGTATGATCTGATATTCCACAGACGTCAGGAGTTCCTGTCCTTCCTGCGACTCAGTTACGGTTGTCTAGGTTGTCAGTTCCAGGTCCGGTAGGTTTCTGAATACATTTAAAATGAATTTACAATTGAAACACTACATAAAGAACCAAAAAACATGAAGTAATTACAAGCTGTGGGGTCTTAAAAAATAATATACCACTGTGCCCTTGACGTCTGAATAACATTCATGTCACCCTCAATGACCCCCCCCAACCCCTAAATGATGACAGAGTTGCTACTCAAACTTTAGTTTTATGATGTCACCTTTCTTCAGTTCCACTCATTGCATGCATGCCCCTCCAAAAGGAATTTCCATCAGCACTGAGTCCTTCTCCCAGACCTCCATCCTCACCCCTTTCTTGCTCTGAAACCCCAACCGCTTGCCCATGAGAGTCTGCAAACTGTGATTAATAAGATGGACAGGCAGTGACACCGGTGTCAGAATATTTCACAGAATATTTCTCGGGAGGGTTGCCACCGGATCGACATGGTGTTGCACACACAGAAGGATTTAAACACTGTGATGGAATGAAGGGAAACGGGGCAGCGGAAGAAAGAGGGTCAATTTACGTAGAAAATGTCACGCGAACAATAGCCATGTGAGAGAATATTAAAATTACCACTGGTGGCATTAAATGTGAGCATGCAACAATATAAAGAATTCAAATATTCAGTCATTCTCAATATCTTTCTTTCATCATTAAGAATGCAAGTATCCAGAGTCAATAGCAAATAAACGTGGAATTTCTCAGAAAGTCTATCACAGGGCTCTCACTTACTCACACACCAATAAATGTGAGTGTAATTCGCTTGAACTTCAGGATCTGTAGTAGGAGACCAACTAGGAGGTACCAGAGTGACCTGCTGACTCATCTTTCAGGCCAAAACATGTAGGGTCTGGTTAATGCCTCAAGAAAATTATATAATTCCATAAGCCATGTTCTAAGGAGTCTACGGAACTGTCACTGTCACTCTTCCTCGGTAAGGCCCCTCATGGTCAATCACGCTTGACTGCAAGGTGCCATGTAATCATTTCAAGAACTGATAAATTGGAATCTATTTTTGGTCCCCGGAACCATCGGAATCATCCCTGAGCTGTTAGTGTACTTCCTGTGGTGTGTTATTGGGCCACATTCGCTTGGCAAACTTATCGGCGCGTTCAGCTTCTGCCGTTTGTGAAATCATTACCAGGGAGATAGATTTTGCTTGTAAGACACGTCCTGCTGGAAGCTCTATACAGAGTGTAGCTCTGCTTTAAGGAATAGCAGAGTATACCTCAAGATAAGGAAGCACAATAGATGTTCTAGTGCGCTATGTCAGTGGGTGGATGGAAGAATGGGAAGAGGGTTAGGGTTAGGATTAGGGTTAGGGTTAGGATTAGGGTTAGGATTAGGGTTGTGTGTGGTGTAAATTCGAAGGTTCTGCTTAGAGCTTCTGCAAACACAATAAAAACGGATATACTCCTCTGGTGGGATTTCAGTGCTAAGCATGTAAATCGTTATACATTTAAACGCCTTTAAAGTGGTCATGTTTTGGTGAATGGGCCAATTCCATTGTACCCCAGTTGACACAATGACAGACACAGGAAGCACAATGGAATGTCGATACAATGTAGCAGGAATGTCATAGTGATGTCACACACCAACCAATCTGAGGCGAGGGGCCGCACGTGGGCAAGACCAAAGGGGCTAGCTGCCCAAGTAGTTGTCTGCCCATGTCACGTTTCACGTAGCTGAGAGATGTCAAAATGCGCTACACTGCGTGTGTGTTTCTGGGGGAGTCTGTCCTGATGCGGACGTTGCACGGTAACCTTTGAGGGTTCGTGAGAAGACTGAGCAAGCCGTTGGCTAGCCAGCTTCGCTTGTTTGTGCGTGTGTGCGTGTGCGAGGGAGAGAGGAAGAAAGATGTCATCAGCCTGCAATAAAGCCCACTCATTTATCTTTTTGATCATCACGGCTGGCGTGACTGGGTTTGACTTACGGAGGTTTTTCCGATAACCCATTAACCAGGACGTACGGAAAAGGTGTGACAGTCACCGCCTAGGTACTATTGAACGGCAAATGCCCCCAAAAAGCATGAAGCCCCACGAAAATGGCAGACAGGAACACAAGCAGACACGAGGCAAACAGCTTCACTGTCAGAAAAAAGGGTACAAATCTGGTACAGTTTTGTACCCCAAGGTACAAATGACATCGATGTACCCCCAATTGTACAAAAATGTTCCTCAGAGTCTATTTCTGTACCTTAGAAGGTACATTTGCCTACAGCTAGGGTACAAATGGCAGACCCTTGAGCCCCAGTGACAAGTAATCATACTCTGAAATATACAAACTGGTACTTTTTTCTGACAGTGAATGTTTGTGTGTGTGGTGATGAGAGCACACTGGGGTGGGGGGCGTCTGTGGTGTTTGGCACCACAAGAGAGGCGTTTGTAGCCCTTAGAGATGTAGCTGTTAAAACTGGCAGCGCTGATGATGAATCGAGGCCACTAGTCCGTATGAGCAGAGCATGCAAATGGAGGGATGAATTGGTAAATGCATGAAGAAACTCATCGGAATACATCCACCTCTGGTTTTATCAGACCCCGATGTTCTGAGGATGAGCTCTGTGTGGACTGAACACGTGGGCGTATCGAGGTCTTCTCGGGGAGCGCAATCGAGAGAAATGTTCCGTCTGCATGCAGGGAGTCACCCCGTGGTGTATGTCATCACAGCGCCCCGGTGTCACAGGGCTGCCTATCCCTTTGCCTAGCAACCACCCGGCTCGCTGTGCTCGTCAGCCAGAACTGGGTTAATGGCAAACAGCCGATCCAGGAAAAGAAAACGAAAATCCTGACAACTTTACCATGGCGAATGGCACCTTTTACCAAGCCAGTGCAATCACTGCAGCGGTAATAATAGCAGATGTGGAAGATACTCATATGGTGACAACATGTACTGTGAACAACCGGTCAAAACAAGCAGAAACAACCACTACCCATGAAATTCAGGTACGCAATTTCCCTGACAAGATTCACATAAAAATCAGATCCCCAAAATGCTGCCTCCATATTTCATGGCAGAAAATCACCAGGCCCAAGGGACAGTGGCACTTTTCAGGTGACTGTATTTATGTTGAGCTGCTAGTTGTTAATCAGCGACAGGGGTGAAACTCAGGGTGCGCGGCCAACCGGCCAGCAGGCTCGCGGCAAAACAGAACGCGAAGACCTGGGGGGCCGGGAGGTCTAATTAAAAACCCAGAGAGTTCCGGGCAGCTGCGAGCTCGGGGAATTGCGGGGGGCGGAACAGGTGGACCGAAGACGACAAAGAGAGAGAGAGCGAAGGAAATGGAGCAGGAACGGGAAAGACAGCAGGAAGATAAAAAGTGTCAGATGAACCAGCCACGCCCGCTGAGAACCATGGCCTACTGGCATTCCGGCGCGCCCAGCCAAGCCCAAAATCAGGCCGATAACGTGTCACGGCAAAACTTGGCGCCTCACGGATCCCCCCCCCCCACCCCCACCCCACTAGGGGCACTTACCAAGAGAGGCCGGCGAACTCGCTCAGTGGTCTCCATTCCTCGGCAAACCGCGGTTGTGTGTTGGGGGGGAGGGGCGGCACAGTGGGTCCGGCAAAGGGCGTGTGCCAGACACTGTGAGTGTGTGTGTGCGTGAGTGTGAGTGAGTGAGTGTGTGAGCGTGCTGTTAAGCCGGGGCCTTGCGAGACTGGGAGCGAGCGCCCCCCCCCCGCCATGGGAACTTGGGGCCAAAGCAACGGAAGAGCGAGAGAGGGGGGGCTCAGGTTGCACCACTTGTGCGACATTCGCAAAGCAGG